CGTAGCGGGTAACGGCAGCTCATTCTTCATGAACGATTGAACCTGTTTCTGACTTCATCTCGACCGCACACCCTTTCCGCTGGCTCCCACCCCCACAGATCTTCTTCTCATACTGTGGCCCTTGTGCTTCGTCGCGGCCACTCAACAAGATCCCCACCTCAAGCCTCGCACCTTCAAGAAGTCAGTCGTGAGGGGGGCCGAACGCGCGGCGGGTGTTACCAAAGTGATAGCGCGTGCGGCGCCGATAAGACACTCCAGTTCAATGAGCGTAACGTCCGCAGTAGATGGATTCGAAGAGCAAGAAGTAGTGCCCGCATGGGAGGGACGACCTGTGCAAAAACAGCCCCCCCAGTCAGCCACCACCTGGAAGGACGCGCGCCGTTCCTGACCTCGTCTCCATAGGGAGGCGAATTTTTCACGTTGGGGCCGAACACACCCCACGACACGTGAAGGGACACGCGTCAGGACATCGAAAGCAGGGGAGCCATGAACGTGGAGGCGAATAGCCCTTGCCGGATAGGGCAAAACGCGTTGTCCCTGGGTGGTGGTACCAGGAGTAGCAGAGAAGGGAAGCATATAAGGCTTGGCGGTTGTGCTCGAAATTGTAAGTTGGCGACGTTTTCAACAACTCCGTGCCAGAGTGGCATTAGCGCTGATCGCACATCAGTGACGTGTTCTTCACGTATCAACGATGCCTTAACAGCTGCTTCTTGGCCGATTCGTCCTGGTGTCCTCCGTACTTTGTGTTTCCACCATAAACGACTTGGGCGTCTTTTGCGCTAGTGTTCCTTCGTGTGATTTTCTGTTTGTTTGCGTTGGTACGACAGATCCCACAGCCACCTCTAGAGCGTTTTTGCTTTTCTTGTTGCATAGCTCTGTTTCGTTGATGCACGTGGGATGTTGACGGTACCTCCCTTCCAGCCTACTTGGCTGACACGAAACGACTTTGTTCTTCTGATGGAAAACAGACGACGAACAACATCTACCCTCTATTGCCACCAGGGGATGGCCTTGCGAACAGAATACCGTTTCCGCTGGCTTTAAAAGTCGACTTGTTGGAGCAGGGGAGACGTACCAATCGGTGGTGCATATATTATGGGTACGTATGGATTCAACGTATCAAAGCGGGGGCGCCGAATGATGCTGGCTGCAGACCTGCAGACGTGGTAAAGGGTACGGTATCGGATCCGCAAGGACAGGTTTTGGAAGGCGGGATGTGCGCAGTGGACCTCAAGTTTGAAGTTTGGAATTAGGTCCAACGTTTTGATTACATGAGGGTATCCTTCGTACTCGGCCATGGTGACGAGTGTTCGCGAAGTGATAAACAGAAACTTGATAGGAGTTGAGCAGAGTTTACTGAGTAATTTAATCTTGTGTATGCTCAAGCGATAGATGTTGTATGGTGATGGAATTCGGGACCTACGATCGAAACGAGAAGGAGACCGATTAAAGAATACTCTGTCTGGTGTTGGCTTCAATGGTCGAACAAGAGGATCGACGCGTTACACGTCATTGGGTATGGATTCAGAGGCTGGATGACTTGGGACTTAGTCTCGGTGTCACCCTTGTGCTCCTACCGGAACTTGTTCTTCTGAGTTCTTCGAGAGGAAAGCGAGCCTGAGAAACGAGCGAACGTTCGTTGGTTCTCGTATTTTGCTATCATGGAGACTACTGTTTGTCATATTTGTTTGATGGCCCTCATATCGCTCCTATGTAGTATGCTTATGGTTGAGTGTGCTTGGATTCCTTTGTGAAGTAGTACATTGTCCTCGATCTCGTTGAGGTGATGTTTTGCGACACACAGCAAGGGTACTTGTGAGGCGCCATTGGTGTCTCAAAGCGTGCGGGATGACGAAGTGGGGGGTTGGTCGTTTTCTCGGCGATCAGCCAGCCTGCCCTTCCACCTAAACTACTCTTCGGGCGAAAATCTGGCGTGACGGCGGTGTAGGGAATGGGTAGACCGAAAGAGGAATTGAATTGGCTATCTTGTAGGGAGCCAAGGCAAATCTATTTTGTGGCCGGCTGGGGGTGGAACGTACTCCGTTGCGTGCGTGCGGTGGACGCAAGAGCGCCCTTGGCGATCGAAGGGCATAGGCGCACGATGGAAACATGGACCTGCAATCCATGTTTACTCTCGACACGGACGACGCTAGTATCTGAACAAGTCACTCAATATTATTCGCGACTGGCGATCCAGCATCCATTGGAAATCAACGACAACTCTTACTACAGCCGATCTCGGTCGACATATGAGCCACCATTCATGGCATTGGGCATGTCGGTGGTATGGTACCGGGAGCCAACATCTCTCGGGCCCACCGCCCGCCACAACCTTTCAAAGGCACGTCTATTTTCAATTGGCAGGGGGGGGCAGGGTGGCGGTCCCAAGAGTATAACCGAATGGCCAGTGGGTGATGAGAAAGGCGACCGCGACGCGACTTAAATGTTGTTTTGGAATTCGGTACACAGCTGGGCGAGCTTTGTCTGTCTGCATCGGGCAAGCACGCCCCGTGCTACGTTGTTTGTGTGTACATCGAAAGGCCGGCATCCTGTGTTGCTGTCTACAGCTTCTGAAGAAGTCGGCTTCAAGTCAAATTACCCAATCTCGCTTCTTGCCAACAACACTACCACCGTTTACAAACGAATGCAGTCGACTCGTCCGTGTTCCCACCCACCCCAGTTCTCTTGTTGAGAATATCGCAGACATCGAAGACACACCGCCGATAGGTAGGGTGTTTGTCCATTGATGTCTCCTCGAGTTGGCAGGTGAGAATACGACAAGCTCTTGCTGTATGGATGTTTCTATCACTAGCCTCTCGAGTTGAAAAATCTTTGGGGGCTCGTGCCTACCAAGGCATGCTCTACGCCCCTAGGAGCCGTATATGGTATATGCGCACCCGTCACGCGAGAAGTCGGAGAAGTCTGCAGTTCTTCGGCGCAAAATCAAAGTATTGTGGTTTAGGACATTTCTGTACTCAGGCGAACCAAGAACCAGCTACCATACCAAGCATTATGGAGAGAAGCGCGCGGGGGCTCGAATATCCCCCCACCCGCCTACAATACCGGGGAGTTATCCTGCCCAATCAGCACGGAAAATGAGGTTTCTTCGCCTTCCGAGTGACGGTATGGGAAGTTCCAGGTTAGGAAGATTTTGGGCTACGGGTGTTGCACCCATTGGTTGGAAGTACAGCACTGATCACACATTGTGTATGTAGACTTGGGTCGTATACCAGATGGCGTTGCGTGGCACAGAATGATGTGGGAGGACTGCTCCTGTTTTACCTCGCGGCGTTCGTCGAGTAGACTACTCTATTCGTTAGTCTGTAGCACATGCGCAGGTATCTACTCTCGCCAGCCGTCGTCGTAAAACAAACGATAGACTATCTGGCCAGTCTACATGTATTTATCTACGAACAACGATGTCCACCCGTGTCAGGAAACATAGTAGACACGGGGCCCAATGTGAATAAAATTATCGCGGAGAGACGACGTCCTGAAATTTCGGCCAGAAGTCGCAAGTATCGCGCTGGCAATGTCCATGCGATCAGCAGCCGGAAGCACACACGTCGTGCTCATAGCGCCAATTAACGGCCATCCGTCGTCGCGCGCGCGATATGCTTTAAACGGTGGAAGCTGTCAACACCCGTCGTAGAGCAAAGCATCCTACTTGCGCGGAGAGGATCAACGGTTGTCGCAGGAGGCAACACCCCCACAAAAGCGACCCGCATCAACGACCTACATTGGTGTCGTCGTGCAACCATCATGGCCGCCAACAGGACGCGATCGACAACATCTGTCACCCAACGGAACCAGTGATGGGCAGAGTCAGAGACAAGATAACATACACATTTCAAAAATTTGATACTGTTTTCCTTCCTACAGTACACATCGACCAACTTGCATTGACTAACGAATGTATTCCATACCCTATCTCCGTTCTCGCGATGTTCCTTTGCGGATAGGTCACATCCATCTATCACATTCTGACCTCCCGCCCCAATGGGGGGCGGAGGCCCAAGAAGTCTCCCTACAGTAGGGCGTACTACGCGAGGGACGCAAAGATGCTAGGGAGGGAGAAAGAGAAACCGAATGCTACGGGCTGCGGGGCCTAACGGATATTGAAGCGATTGAAACTGAGGAGGCGGAGCGCGTGACGAGATATGCAACCGGTTAAATGCCCCCTGGGCCCCTTCTACTTGCCTACTCTTTGGTTCATTGTGTCTTCATCTTTTCTTGCCTCTTGGTCGTGTTTGGTTTTGGTTCGCTTTCCTCTCTGGCCTTTCTGGCGTCGTGTAAGTCTTTCGTCGTTCTTCCTCTCGCCCTCTGGACTACCCTCGATCCGCAATATGTGGCCACATGCCCTGCTACGTTCGTTTTATTTTTTGTCATGGGGTGTTTGTCGTAAAGTCGCTGGTAAGGAGTAGTCTGGAGGAAGGAACAGCATCATTCGGCTAAAGTCTTGGGACCGCCACCCTGCCCCCCCTGACATTTGAAAATAGATGTGCCTTTGAAAGGTTGTGTGCCCGAGAGATGTTAGCTCCCCGTGCCATACCTCCGACATGCCCAATGCCATGGATGGTGGCTCATATGTCGACCGAGATCGGCTTTAGCGTTGTCGTTGATCTCCAATGGATGCTAAATTGCCAGTCGCGAACAATATTGAGTGACTTGTTCAGATACTAGCGTCGTCCGTGTCGACAGAAAACATGAATTACAGGTCCATGTTTTCGTCGTGCGCCTACGCCCCTCGATTGCCAAGGGCGCTCTTGCGTCCACTGCAAGTAGGCAACGGAGCACGTTCACCGCCACTCGGCCACTAGGGTGTGTCTTGGCTCCCTACAGGATAGCCAAGTCTTCTTCGGTTTACCCATTCCCTACACCGCCGTCGCGCCAGAGTTTTGCCCGAACAGTAGTTTAGGCCTAAGCGCAGGCTAGCTAATCGCCGAGAAAACGACCAGCCCCCAACTCCGTCATCCCGCACGCTTTCAGACACCAATGGCGCCTCACAATACTCTTGTTGGGTATCGCGAAACATCACCTCAGATCAGGACGAGATCAAGGACTACTACTACACAAAGGAATCCAAGCAAACTCAACCACAAGCGTACTGGTAAACCATACAGAATCGATGTGAGGGCCATCAATCGAACATCATGACAGCGGTCTCCATGACGGCGAATGTGCGAACCAACGAACGTTCGCTTGTTTCTTAGGCTCGCTTTCCTCCCGAGGAACTCAAAATATACATCCCGCAGGTATATACACAAGAATAACACCAAGACCAAGACCAAGTCCCAAGTCGTCCAGCCTCTGAACCCATACCCAATGCCGTATCCTTTTGTTCGACCATTGAAACCAACACCACGCGATCCTTGTAGAATCGATGTCCTTTTCGTTTCGATCGTAGGTCCCGAATTCCATCACCACACAAATATGTATTGCTTGAGAATACACAAGATTAAATTACTCAGTATACTCTGCTCAACTCCTATCGAATTTATGTTTGCAACCCGCGAACACTCGTCACCATGGCCGAGTGCGAAGGATACTCTGATACATACTTACAACGTTGGACCTAATTCCAAATTCCAAACTTGAGGTCCACTGCGACATCCCACCTTCCAAACCCTGCACTTGCGGGCCCGATACCGTACCCTCTACCCAGCATCATTCACCTCCCCCGTTTCGATAGATTGAATCTACATACACATAATATACACACCACCGTGTGGCATGCCCCCCCTGCTCCAACAAGTCGACTTTCAAAGCCAGCGGAAACGCCATTCTCTTCGCAAGGCGATCCCCAGGTGGCAAAAGTGTGTAGGTGTTGTTTGTGGTTTGTATTGCATCAGACGAACAAAGTCATTTCGTGTCAGCCAGGCAGGAAGGAAGGAAGGTATGGTCATCCCACGTGCATCAACAACACGGAGCTACGCAACAAGAAATGAAAATACGCTCTAGGTGGCTGTGGGATCTATCGTACCAACGCAAACTAACAGAAAATCACACGAGAAGGAATATCAACGCAAAAGACGCCCAAACCGTTTATGGTGGAAACACAAAGTACGGAGTACACCAGAACGAATCGGCCAAGAAGCAGCTGTTAAGGCATCGTTGATACGTGAAGAACGCGCCATGAGTCTGAAATCAGCGCTATTTCCATTCTGACACAGGGCTATTGAAACACAACCCAACTTACAACTTCGAGCACAACCGTCAAGCTTGCCTCCCTTTGCCGCTACTCTTGAAACCACCGGCCAGGGACAACGAATTTTGCCCTATCCGGCAAGGGCTGTTCGCCTCCACGTTCATGGCTTCCCCGCTTTCGATGTCCTGACGCGTATCCCTTCACGTTTCGTGAGGTGCTTTCGGCCCCAAGGTTTGAAAACTTTGCCCTCACATGGGGACGAGGTCAAGAGTGGCCCGCTTCCTACCAGTTGGTGGTGACAGGGCGGCCTGTTGTCGTTGTGTCGGTTTCCGCTCCCACGCGGGCACTTCTTCTTGGTCTTCGAAGCCATCTGCTACAGACGCAGCGTTCACCGTCCTGGAGCGTCTGATGGGCGCCGCACGCGCGATCACTTTGGTAACACCCGCCGCGCGTTCGGCTCCCCTCACGACTGACTTCTTGAAGGTCCGAGGTTTGAGGTGGGGATCTTGTTGAGTGGTCGCGACGAAGCATAGCGGCCACAGTATGAGAAGAAGATCTGTCGGGGTGGGAGCCAGCGGAAAGGGTGGGCGGCGGTCGAGACAACCCTGGCAACAGGTTCAATCGTTCATGAAACATGAGCTGCCGTTACCCGCTACGCGATGCGTCACAAAAGAATCTTCGCGAGTCGCTAGAGCGGAAGGTCTGTTCTCCTAGGCACACGGGCGGGGATGCCACCACTACAGGGCGAAGAATGTTCGACAATTCCGCGACTGTACTACATGTACCGGTTCGTTTTGTCTCACTCACCCCAAAACCCGCCAATATTTCCAAACATCTCGGCGAACTCGTACGGGTTGGACTCTGTGATGATCTCCCAAGAGTCAGCCTGCTGCTTCATCTCCAGAGACAGATACGCATATGGCATTGTGATGTTTGGGTTCACCTGCATTGTGGAAACACGATTGCGGACGACTGAGAAGTGCCGGAGGTTTTGCGAGGCAACTAAACAACAACAACAACAACAACAACAACAACAACAACGACAGTGACGGAGACAACATTCGAAAGTGCTGCAGCTGCAGGTCAGACGTACCACATTCTTGTGATGCCCAAAATTCGTAAACAGCGCCTTGTACGACGATTGGTCATCCTCCATTAACTTGTTCTGGTTGGTGAGACCAACGCCCTGACACACCGACAACACAAGGAGCGAAGCACGTACACAAACACAGAATGGTGAGCCGAAATGTGCCGACTTGTTGGGAAAATGGCTTCTCTAGCACACACTTGACCATTGCCGGCTAGTCAGAAGGACAAAACTAACGTCACAGCTCAAAATGATCGAATGTGTTGTTTCATTCTTCATGAGCAACTACTTTACATTTTCAATTGAGATGGCAAAGGCGCGTATGGAGAAACAAAAATTGTGGGTTCTTTGTTGGTTCCGTGCGATTGTCCCCTACGTAGGGTGAGTGTAATGTAGCGACGTAAGTCGGGACTGCCCACGTTCAAGCTGGAAATTTCTCCAACATCGCCAAACATCAACATCTACTCCCCTCCGGACACCGGTCTGAGGAATTCTTGCTCACGAGCGTATTGAAGATGTGGGAGTTGGAGATATTCGTGATGCAGCTGTAGGACAACGGAAATCCTGTTGAAATCGCTGTGGGATCCTCGGGGTCGCTCAGGAAGCCATAAACCCACTCCCTGCCGCAGAACGGGGGACGGAAAATTCGTGGTGAAGAAGTGTACAGAGGCGGTTACGACTGAACATGTTGATCTGCTAGACCCTGCTACCGCACCGTGAGGGAGACAACTCCTTGAGGTATCTGCAGGTGAACGAAGACATCCATCCGGTGATCAGTTCATGTAAAGGGCAAACCCGCCACACAAAATGGTAATTGTACCAGATATAGCCTGCCGTAGATCGGAAATTCCAATGTCGGGGACAGATTTCTCTGCTCTGTTAATAAGCAGATGTCCAACAACGAGCATCTATTGATTATGGGTATGCCATTACCATTGTTTTGACCAAATTTGGCTATTTATTGTGTTTTTTCGCCCTATATCATCCAATACGACCTTTTGCCGGATGAAAATACATACATGCTGAGAGCATTGCCCGTAAAGCATAAAGCGCATGTTTTCGTCGAGTTTATTGGCGAGAGGGCGGTGGGGCACGTCCGGAAGACGAAGAAAAATTGACAGCAACCTTCTTCCGCATTCCCTGGTTTTTTGTGTATCACATCTATTTTGCCTCATACTGCACACGTGCGATTTCACATGCTACTCACACACTCCGCTACAAGTAGGGTTGGGGATGGGGTGCCACCTTCTGTTGCGGGTTGCGTGCCTTGGCCTGCTGCCAATTGAACATCAACAATCAACCAACAACCACTATTATGGCGCCGCATAGACTAAGGGCTTCTCGCGAAACGATCGTATGAACATTGTTCCACCGCAAACCGCAACTCCCCCGCTACTCTATCATGAAATGAAAACAGTTGCACCGCGTAGCTTGTGGTGTACCTTTCGGCATGCCTCCCTCCCAAAGACGATTCTCCAACAGTTCAAATCGACAGACGCAAAGAACGAGTTACACCGTACAGTAGATGACGCGCAGGAGGAATGCCACTACGATCGCTCGGCGAAGCGCGACGGCTTTCGACGGTCATGCGACAATACCTCCCACAGGTTTTCTTTCAAAGCGATCTACCTATATGCCAAGACGGTAGTGTGACCCCCGGTGGCCGTCAAACCCCAGGGGCGGGCGGCCGCCATACCCTAGTCCCAGCAGCAACGTATCTTCACCTGTGGTCCGCCCACTCTACTCCGTCAGCGACGCAAGTCGTAGAGTTTCCAAATATGCCCCCGGGGTACCAGTACATCTGTTCAGCGAAAGGCATAAACGGTTGTCGGGGTGACACTACCGGGACAGCGGTACGAACGTTGGCTCCGAGAACGTTTGCCAACCCATGTGGCCTGAGAGATCCGTTGGCGGCGATCATATCTATCTACGTGTGCCCGAGCGATATATTGCTTCCTGCATCAGCAAGTGAATAACCTTCAGCCCTTTGCGCTCATGCGTGTGAGCTGTTGAGACTATCGGGAGAATGTCACATTTCCCCCACGGCAATTTCACGCCCCTCGGTCGGTGCGTTTTTCACCCCAGCAGAACGTCGTGTGTCACTGTAATGTTTGGGGTGGTGTAACTCCTCTATGTGTGTCGAACCCAACGTTTGGTTCTAGACTTGGAGATGCGTTCTTCAAATCGTCCGGAACCGCCACGCACTCGGGGTACGGCACATCGCTTCGATCTTGTGGCGGGCATAGTCTATGCGACACGTTTCAAGAATATCAACAACAATATGCGTTCGAAAAGATCAGAGGGAGAGGCTCACAGAGACGTGCACGTTGGCGTACTGCTACTGAAAGAGGTCTTGCTGTGGGCGAGCGGCGGGCGCTACTGAACACCTCAACGAAATATAGGAAACATGACATGTACACCAGTCAGTGTTTCGTGGACCACAAGTGTCGTCGTACGGCGGTCCAAGTAGCTCACATCCAAATGGATGTAGTCCAGGTACTCGTGGGGGTCCCGTTCTTGTCCAACGAAGGCAGTCGCAGCCGACGTCCTGAAAATCACGCACTGGCCTCTCCCCTGTTGTACAAACCGCAACAACGACGCCATCGGATCCGCAAGAACAGTACATTTAAGAGTCGCATGCAGCCAAGAGAGTTAGACAGATGCACAGACCGCTCGCAAGATGGTAGAAAGGCAATGTTACATGCATCATCGCTCCTGGAAGCTTGCCTCTTTGCGCTACCGTATGGCGTACGGCGGAGAGCGGCTAGCACTAGGCAGTTCGGCAAGGTTAGATTGAATGCGCTTTTGTTGTTCTTCGCGGATGGCGATGCTACGCTCACACGGGCCAGGCACACAGGAGCACCCGAAAGGGTTTGCAACAAAGCGGACGTATCACGGTCGAGAATAACCAGGTTTCAACGTTGCGAGCTTGAATTATGAGGACAGACTGCAGTCCTCGGGTTTTTGTGCGACTGCCGTGAACCTAGCAATTGAGATCGAACCGGTGGCCAGTATCCCCCAAAAAATTATTTCGGCACGGTAGTGCGGGTAGCGTCTCGTACACCGTCCGATCTACATGTGCGTTGTCGACGAAGAAACTGCAGCTACGGAGACCGACTGGTTTCGAACTCGATTGCTCCGTCGGCAACAAGTAGGGCGCTAACACTGAACCATGTTGTTCCGAAAGCTGTTGACGAGGCATCTTCTACGCTGACAATCTTCCTGCCGTGAAGATATTGGGTATGGAATCGAGGCACAGGGTGCATCGTTCGACATAGCATGAAGCATGTCACCCACCTGTACGCCCCACCTGGGTGTGACTTCATGGCTATTTCATGTGCACGGGGCACGGACAACACCACCGAAAATTCCAAGGTAACACCGCAAGTCTTCCATGTGAAAACACGCCCCGAATAGCAACAAAAAATATAACTGGTTCAGGAAGGAAAGGATATTTCGAGGCTCACGTCCTCCACGTAGTTTCCCTCGCTGTCATAATCGGTGTTTTCGGGGATAGCTTCGATTTGTAGTTCCTCGGTCGTTGTTTCTTGTAGCTGGTCCAATTTGACTCTCGGGTAGAAAACCGCGTCCGGTTCGCCCCCTTCGGTCATCCACGCAGAATCCACGCACTCCTCCTCGAGTTCCCACTCGTCGCAGCCGTAGTTATTATACAGGCAAATCCAGAGGTCGGGGTTCTTGTATACCTCATTCTGAAAAATACGACGGGGTATACAGAAAATAAACCAACAACAAACCATTGGGTCAGTTGCTGTGTGTGATTTGTGCGCGTCAGCGAGCGAGCGTCGGACACCATGCACAAGCCTGGGGAGTTGGCGGCATGAGGTTTGATCTGACGATACAACGGTAAATTTAGTCCATAGGTTAGATCAATTTTTCTCCTCGGAGCCACTATGCGCGCCCTCAACGATCCAGCACCTACATCAATTTTTCCCTCCTACCAAAGAATGCGTGAGCTGTCCCTTCGTCTGCGGAACCAATCCTAACTTGATTCCCAGTATCCATGTTTCGCAGGTACAGTAGCATTACAGGCAACAAGATCTGACAACGTTGTGGAAGTAACGGTAGTAAATAAGCGTCGTCTCTGTATAGGCACGGCACAAGATATAGGCGATTGCTTCCGACATGAAAGCCAGCCCACGTTGCAAGATAGGGACGCCCGCCTCACCGTCAATACGAACGACGTGTCGGGTGACTTCGCCTTTTCCGCTGCTTTGTAGAAAAGCCAGCCGGAATCTGCTAAGACACGGACAAAAACGAACCCATTCGAATGGTGGCGTGCAGCGGTTCCATCAAGAAGCTGTCCTATAGAAATAGTATATAGCGGTACAGTTGTATGGTGTCGGGAACAATAGGTTTACAATACCCAATAATCACTTCTTTACCCGGGATGGGATTCGTGTGCGAAATCCCTGCTCTGTTGACTTTGTCCTGGGGAAGGAACAATATAACGTATCGAAGAATGGACCTTCAAGGGTTATAAAACTTTGCGCCACCGCCCAAATTGGGCGATTCCAAGGCACAAGTAAATATAGAGTGAAAGCATGCATAATGTAGACTGATGATAATGCTCAATAATCCTCCCACGAAAGGGTTTTTACTCTCCACGTACAATGCTCGGCGACCGATCGACTGTCTACCTGCCTGGTTTTGTTCCATCCATTGTTGCACGGTTTGCGGTTTCATGGTCTAGACTATCGAGTTGTGTCGATGGGCTCACATGCGATGATAGCGACCACCGACACCGTCCAAACCACCACCGCCCGACGCCTGTGCGACTCAAGCACCTCGCTTGGCTTCCTGCATTCAGTGTAAAAATCCAAACAGAAGTACACACCAACTCATCAGTGGTGAAAGGGAAGTCATGCAGGATACACAAGCGGTGATGCGCCAGCTTGTCTCATTCCCGCCGGTAAAATGTGAAACGGCAAATATGGTTACGGCCTCGACTTTGTCGCTGCGAACATCGGTCTGCAGCGAAACTACACGGTGAATTCGGCAGCCGCGATGTGCAACAGTAACTTCTAGAAATATATCACACGGAGTGGCACGCCCCTCCCGCTACTTTAGTATCTGTCTTCTGACCTGGTTAATGGCTCGTGGGGGAAGCACAAGCCAGGCGGGGAGAGTCGCCGTCATATTTTTTCTGTTCGGATGTGACTGGGTAATAACTCCGACCGGAAAATGTTCTTGAAACTACATGTACAGTCAACAGTACATGTACGACCCCGACGGTGAACACATCACATACACACACCGACCCGACACACCGACCCCATCAAAGCCCTAACCATGAAGCACTTCTGCCTGGGGCCTTGGTGGCGACAACTGGCCACAAACGCATAGCGATGCCTACGTAGGTGAGACGACGTTCACCTTCTACTGTCGCCTCGTCGTGTTGCAAGCATGCTGTATGTATACCATACGCAGGCCCGCTGCTCACGAGGGTACAGGAGCAACCTTGCAAGTCTGGCGACGCCCGCGCGAGACACGGGCACTCACCACATTCTCGCCCGGCTCTGGTCAACGTTCAGGGAGAGATGAAATTTTTAGCGGCCGTTGCTTCCTCCTCCCGATGCCCCGCAACAGTGTGTGTGCGGAAAGATGGTGAGGCTGGGCGAATATCGGGTGAGCACTGCTGCTGCTGTAGTCTACAGTAGTCCTGCGGAGATTTTTTTCGTCATCCAATAGTCTAGACTGTATATTGTAAGGTATTTGACCCCTTCCTTCAGAATCAATCACCTTTGTCCTGTGTGGAACTCTCTTGTCCGACCACAGTAGTAATAGCAGGTTGCTGCTGCTTTCCGTTGTCATCTTTCTCTTGATTAACGCTGTCCAAGCCAACTCACAATATCCCACGCACACACGATCGGGGATCGTCTGTATGCACACACACTGAACAGAAGGGCACGTGTCTCGGCATAAAGCCCTGATCTAGCATGACGTCACGTCCTAGCATCCGGCGGCGCCAAATAACCATGATCAACCACGATCACATGTCTACCTCCAAATACCATAACACTAGCCCACCGTGAGTGGACGTAGATGCAGATAGATACAGAAGCAAACCTCGGAGTGACTCGAGTCAACCAAGAGGATTGCGGGATGGATCGAAGATACGACAACTCAAAACCCTTACCCGCACCTCTCTGTTAAACAAACCAAAGAAGAAGCGGAACCAAGAAAAGAAGAAAACAAAGAAGCCGGGGACCTCAATTTCGGCGGATAAAATCGGAAAAAGGCACATGGGTGCGAAAAATAACCAAAACATCCGAACCGAAAAGACCATAACACGAAGTAACGAAATCGTGAAGGGAAAATCCCACACGATCTCGCACGAATGAACAGATCGAATACGCCATCAAGTAAGCCAAAACCTTACGGGAAGGGGGGCTACGATGCGAGCGAGTTCTGAAACGCAATATAGTCTATTCTGGACCCGGTCTTCTACACCTTCGGTACAACGTTCTGGGCGCACCAACAACGCGATGCGAGCGAATGTTCTTTCTCCGCCTTCCTTCAGCGATGCTTGTGCCTGAATTTTCTCGCCAGAATTTCGGGGATATTTATTGACGTGTCGATGTAGAAGCAGCCAAGTTTGTCAGGGATATGCGTACATACCCAACTTGATGGTAGGACCGTCTATCCCCTCTAAGTTCGCTGTCGGTACCATACATAGACTTCATTCTGTGTACGGCCAACAGAAGCGCAGTCTGTGTACGGTGTCATCTAGAAAGTTCAAGGTGCTGATCCGCAGCAGCAGCAATGGGTGGACCTACAAGTCAGAGGTCGGAAGCGTTGTGCTCGAGGTTCCAGAGATACCAGAGGATGGTTTGGTCCAGAAAACAAGGAACATTTCAAGGAGGAAAATATTGCATTATCTTCTGAAGATCTTCCAGAAACAAATATTGTATGTAAGTTCCAGAACAACATTAGTCATGTTTTATCAGTAGTAGCGTATCTTAGCTTTATTCTTGACGTGTGTGATTGGTTGGCGTTGCTGAGTTTGTGTGGTTCCATGATTTCGAGGATGAGCGCGCGCACGCCCCTTCCCCTCACCCATCACAGCCTGTCACAACGACATCAAATATTTCATCGTTCTGAGGGTCATCGAGTTGCGTAACAGCACCCGGCAGTGCTCCACCTCTCGCATTTAGCAGGCAGTCTTGCTTCTCAGCGAGCACCTGCGATAAGCTTTGCCACAATCGCGTCCCTACAACCACCACGCGCCACACACACCAACAATCAAGATTTTCTATCGTAGACACACCGAATCCCATACAGCAATACAAGTACCCTAACCCTATCCCTAATGTAGACTGCATGCACTCTAGGGCTCTACGGGTGTTCCATGGATTCCATTGGGGGGATTAGCCTGCCTTTGGTACACTACACTAGCCGGGGTCACACCGAGGCACATTTTATTTCTCCGCCTTCCTTGGCTAAACGTGAACATTGAACAGGTGATCTCGCGTTCCCCGTTTGAGATTTGGTCTCTACCAGCAGTCAGTCGTATTCTACATGTAGACCGCACGACACTGCTGTGCAACATCGGTAATTGTGGCGACACGGCTACGTTCTGTCTACCTATCTATTGCTGTATCATGGATATGAACTGGTTGGTTTTCGCGAAAGCACAGATATGTAGGTGGGGAAGTCGCGGTGAGCGCGGAGAAGTCGCGGTGTGCGATGTGGACAGACGGAGATACATTTTCTTCCTGTTCGTAAGATGGGCCGTACACGCTCTGATCGGCATGCGTTCAGTGGAGACTACACATACCGTATGATGAGCGATGCCTAGGTGAGAGGTCCACGAGCTCTCGTGTCTATGAACAGCATTTAACAGCATGACTGCGGGGAGTTACTCCTTCTGTCGCCTCCTGTTGTGCATACCACATGCCCATTCGCGAAGAGAGAGCAACCTGCAACAACGGCGCGTACATGTACTGTAGTTACCAGACTCACCACATTATTATCGCCCTTCTCTCGTTAACGTCCGAAGAGGTATGGGAATTCGGGGCGGCGGTTGCTTCCTCCCCGATGTCCAGCTGGCAACGGTGTGTGGAGAGGTGATGCAGCAGACGGGAGGCGGGTGGGTGTGGTGTGTTGGGGGTGTTGCGTGGGGTGTTGCGTATCATTGGTATGCACGGAATTCCGAAAAATTGATCAAAACTAGAACAATTTTCGGGCTTCTGGACCGGACACGGTTCGCCTGCACTGAAATGATGTGGTTCGGCCGCACCCCAATCCAAACAAATTAATAGCGCACGGCCTTTCCCCGTGTAGGTGATTCTCTCCCAATACTCCCGCCCCCTCCGTTTCTCCTGAAGTCCCTTGCTGTGCGACCTCCGTGCTCCCTCTGCGGTGTTTTCGTGTGCGCGTGTGAGGCAACGGGTCGAATCAGTTTCATAGAAGGTTCCCAGGAACGGTCCGAGAGAACGGAAGATAAAGCGAAATAAACGCTCGGAAAAACGCCGTTGTTTACATATATATATGTAGACTACTGCATGCAGTAGTCCGACCTGGCTGCAAGTCCAGCCTCGAAATTTGTTCATATTTTTCCGTTCAACCACAAGACGCATTTTTGTGTCATGCACACGCGACCACACCCGCGCCTGCTGCACATCACCTCTCCACACACCGGTGCCAGCGGGACATCGGGAAAGAAGGAGCCGCTGCCCAAGTTCCCATCTCTCTTTGAACGTTGACAAGAGAAGGGTGACAATGTGGTGAGTGTCCGTGTCTCGCTTAGGTATCGGCAAAGCTCGCATATGCCTGGCCCTGCTGTTGTGTTGGTTGTTCTCCCTCGCGAGTGGGGTCGCGCGAGTGGTCATGTGGTATGCACAACAAGAGGCGACAGAATACGTATCTCCCCGCAGGCATGCGCTGTTCATAGAAGCGAGGGCTCATGGGCTCATGGACCTCTCACCTAGGCATCGCTGATACGGTAGTCTCAACTGAAAACCTGCCGATCAGAGCGTGTACCGGCCCATCTCGACGAACAGGAAACCGTATCTTTGTCTCTCCACACCTTGAGATCACAACATGGTATGCATACAATTTTCACGTTTGGCCGGAAGGCGGAGAAATAAATTGTGGCCTCTTGAGCCTCGGTGTGACCCCGCCTACATGTAGCGCCACAAGAAATCAATTGTATTTCAATATCTCTGCACACACACCGTTGCGGGGCATCGGGGAGGAAGCAACGGCCGCCAAATTTCTATCCCTCTCTGAGCGTTGACGAGAGAGGGGCGAAAAATGTGGTGAGTGCCCGTGTCTCGCGTGGGCGTCGTCAGGCTTGCAAGGTTGTTCCTCTCCTTCGCGAGCGGGCCTGCCTGAGTTGGTATGCATACATCATACACGTATGACTTCACTACCGTACACGAGGCGACAGAAGAAGCCGAACGCGCGTCGTCTTACCTACATTGGCATCGCTGCCGCAATTGTGTGGCCAAGTTGTCGCCACCAAGGTATAATACTATCCCCTTGTGTGCTCTCTTTTTGACAAGACGTCTGGTTAGCACAGGAATGAATATCTCTCGGTTTCGTTCGAAGTCTCTGTGTGGGTCGAGATTCAAATGCTTCTCTCTGCTGCTCGTGCAGCTCGGTTTGTATCATACAGGATCAGACAACGGACTCTTTCGTTCTTGCTCACACTCCACGGCACTGCACACGCACTCTCACCCGCAACTCTCACTCACGCGCGACTCTTCCACTCAGCACTCTCGATATGGCACTCACAGTAGACCGTTGTCTGACGAACCTGCCTGACTCTCGCTTCCAAAGACACTTCTGAGAGGGTGGGGCTACTGCTCTGCACTTCCTACACCCCCGCCTCCCCGCTGCAACCCCCCGGGGGGGGGTGTACTCATAGTCGTGCATGCCGTAGTCGTGAGACCATTGACCTCGCATCCCCACAAAGCCGGGACGGAGCACGCCGGGTTCTCACCGGACCAGGCTCTCACATCACCAAGCGCGAAGCGCCGTGAGGTATTCGGCGAGTCGCATGAAGGGTGAGCTGCATCCTGCTAAGGGTATTCGGCATCTTGTGCTTACTTCCTTGCATACGAATGACAGCTGCGTATGACTTAATATATTTTCTGGTGCTTTCACTTCCAGAGACAGTTGTAAGCACTGCGTAACTGCCTCGAGGATGCTTGGCCATTTTAACACAACGTGGTGCGATCATCCCCCTTGCGCGGAGTGAGGGTTCTCCACCCCGCACAACATGATCTACTCGACCACCATTCATGGTTACCGCAAAAACAAAACCAGAGGTAAAAACAAAAACGGTAACCTGGTTGCCGAGTTCACGAAGTGGCTTGCCTTGTTTTACTACGTCGTTGCCAAGCGATGAAAACCCAATCCCGATGGCAAAACACGGGGGGGGGCGGCTTGTTTTACAACGCCGTTGCCAAGCGACGAAAACCCAACCCCGATGGCAAAACACCGGGGGGGGCGGCTAGTTTTACAACGTCGTTGCCAAGCGACGAAAACCCAACCCCGA